CTGGACTCGTTTGAGTCCCATTTCTCTTTTTGGGGTTTTTTGTTGTTCTCCCGCCCTGGCGGGGGGGTCGGGCTAGAAGATCTACTAGGTCCCTTCCGACCCTTAATCTATGAATCTATGAATCTATGAATCAAGTCTGCTCCAACATGTAGTAATTACAGTGCCTCAAAGCAATGCCCCCACACATCTACAGGCAACCTACATGCCTTGCCTATAGATGCAAGTAGGAACGTGATTGAGATGGGTTTTCTTACTGTTATAAGATCTGTGATTAATAGAAGTGATATAATTACTGGCATCCTAAACTTCAGACCTCATTGTGCCTCCTCTCAATCCCCAGATCCAACCTGCTCCTTGGTTACTAAAACAGATTGAGGAAAAGCTTAATCAGAAGGGATTGATAAGGATGGCAAAGAAAGTAGGCTTACATGGTGTGGGAAATCATATCAACTATGAGATATTCAAAGGAGCTCAGCTCCCAGTGAAGCACCAAAACATGCATCTGATTATCAGGAAGATGCTTGATGCCGAGTCCTTTTGAAAAAAATCTGTCAGTAAAGGCACATCTAGACAAGTACTTAAGTGTGGTTTGTGGCACCTCAAAGCTGTTTGAGGTGCCACAAACTACATGCAGCACATATGCACGCATTTGCTGCACTGCTAATTTGCAGCGTGGCATCAAAATTTGACACTGGGAGATCCTGGTGTCAAAAAAGTCTGAGAGGGGAGGGGGGCAGCACATGTGGCTGCAGCATGCACTAGCAGAAAGGGAGCCTGGCTGTGGCTGACAGCTAGGCTCCGAACAGCCAGCTCCACACCACTGCCGACCTGGGAGGCCCCCAGAACCCCAGGTAAGGCTGCTGGAGCCAGCACAGATGTTGGCCCCACCCCCAGACTCCTTTACCCTACCTACAATTTGCCACACAACAGAGTACGTGTAGGGGTGTGCCCTGGGGCAAAAAGCAGCAGCACAAATATGTGCTGCTGCTCTTTGTGCCATGGGAAACGTGCACCCTTGCACATGCATGCTCATCTAGATGCTCCCCAAGGAGTCAGCACCTGAGCTGCTGCTTTTTGAGGGAGTCAGACCCTTAATCAAGGTGTTTAAATAGGAGATGTGCCCTGTTATGGATACCAACGATTAGAAAAAATCTGGCCCTTATGATTGGATTTACACAGTATTCCCCTGCAACTGTGTACAGGCCAATTTCTGAAGGTAGAGCAGACCGTCAACACCCAATTTCCATGGAATTTTGGGTAGCTGGATTAAAGTCATCATAGAAGTAGGGTCGGAAGGGACCTTGTAGATCTTCAAGTCCGACCCCCCGCCTGGGCGGGAGAAAAGACTGGACTCAAATGAGTCCAGCCAGGTAGTCATCAAGCCTCTTCTTAAAGATCCCCAGGGTAGGAGCCAGCACCACTTCCCTTGGAAGTCGGTTCCAGCTCCTAGCCGCCCTAACTGTGACGTAGTTCTTGCGGATGTCTAATCTAAATCTACTCTCTAATAATTTGTGTCCATTGTTCCTTGTCATGCCAGGGGGCGCTAGGGGAAACAGTGTCTCCCCCCAAACCCTTCTGGTCCCCCCTAGTGAGTTTATAGACAGTCACCAGGTCCCCCCTCAGCCTTCTCTTGTGGAGGCTGAACAGGTTTAGGTCCCGCAGTCTTTCAGTGTAGGGTCTGCCCTGTAGTCCCCGGATCATGCGCATGGCCCTCCTCTGGACCCTTTCAATGTTGTCCACATCCCTCCTGAAATGGGGCACACAGAACTGGACACAGTACTCCAGCTGTGGCCTGACCAGCGTCGCATAGAGGGGGAGGATCACCTCCTTGGCTCTACTTGAGATGCACCACAAGGTCCGGTTAGCCCTGCCAACCGTGACCTCGCATTGTCGGCCCATGTTCATCTTGGAGTCAATAATGACTCCAAGATCCTTTTCTGCCTCTGTGCCCTCAAGAAGGGAGTTTCCCATTCATAAGTCAGAAGAGTTATGATTGCCTATACTATGTGGGAAGCAGGCCCTGTATGTTTTTGTGGAGATTGTATGCCTTAAGGTAGCTCAGTGAGGATTTCGATAAGATTTCTGGGATGAACAATACATAAGAAAACTAAATGAAAGCCAAACCTTTCAGGCTGGTTATCCCCCTGGATAAAGAGAGGCATAATCGCTTGTGTTCCCATTCTTGTTCAAGTCGCATTTAATAAGTTGTTCACAGTTTTGGGTGAGATTGTAATATACTCACAGCACTGGACATACTCTGCTCCCACTGAAGCTAACAGATTCCTGTTGATGTCCATGGAAGCACAGTTCAGACAGAATCAAGCACTACTGAAAATCCCAACCTCTGAATCTTCATTCAGACAATCCCAGCCTTGTTAAAAACACATCTTAAATAATACAAGTAGCATACTATTACGAAGATGAGCCTGACAGTCTGAGAGAAGGAAAGATAAGCACAAGTGAAAGTGAAGAGAAGAGTTGGAGTGTTGCTGTAGCTATAATGGTCCAGGAAATACGTATTTATTTATTAGATGTTTACCCCGCCCTACCCAAAAAGCTCAGGTGATCTCTTTTTTTTTTGTCCCACTGCATAACTGGGAGATGTTAGACAAGGTTTCAGACACAAAAGGACCTGGAAAGGTGTATGAGCTAGCTCCCCAGTCTGCTGTAAGCCGATCGGAGAATCCTAACGCAGAAAGAACACGTGCTACAGCCCTTCCCAGCTGGGTGATGTATCAGATACACAGGATAGTTTTACCTGGCAGCACTGGCACCCAGCTGAAAGCCACTTAAGTAAGTTGAACACAAGAGTGATTCTCAACTGGGGAACAGCCACACTGAAAAAAGTTGGAGATGGAGCCCTGACTCTGAAGATTATCAGTCATGTGGCTCAGCGTAAGGTGCAACAAGTTGGAGATGGAGCCCTGTCTTCCCCACTGCAGTAGAGGGGAAGACAGTGAGGCAGTACGTGACCTAAAGGAGGGCATCAGCTGTGATATTTTTGTTTCTGTCTCACTCCACATAGCCCCCAATACTGGGGTGTAAGACATTCAGCACAGCTTCATTCTTGCATGGGCTTTGTAAAAGAACTCACTCTGGCCTTCCCAGAAAGTCTGTTCAACTGCGCAAGTGAGCAAACCTACTACAGTATAAGCAGATGATTACAAATAAAAGGACAGAGGTTAAGCAGAGACCTCATGCTCTGTGGCCTTACAAATAAAAGGCAGAAATCATCCCCAACTGCAGAATTGCCTTTTTTGCTTTCTAGAAACCAAAATTCATGCAAAAAAACCCCCATTTCCTTCTTTTCCACACCATCCCCTCTGCAGGCACAGTACCCTGTTATTTCTGTGATCAATTTACTGAAACACCAGCCTGGTTGACTTGTATTGGCAGCGCCATCTAACGGAACTTTTCTTTTGTTGTTTCACTTCATGTTCTATTAAGGCAACAATGAATGAACAGTGATCTGGTATCAGCTACAGAAAGACAAAAACTTGTGGAAAAACACTTCACCCTCCCTGGACACTATATGGCTGACCTCAGGATTGCTGTTTTCAGGCAAAAAAACCCATTTTTTAAAATAGTTTGAATGGGAAATTGTGGAACAAGAAATCATCCACAAATTGGACTGTGTTAAGCATGGTTTAAGCAGGGACTATGGATTCTTATCTTATTACCTGACTTAGCTTTTTTGACCCCCTTTATTCCTATGGGTTTATACTGCTCCTTTTCTTTGCTCTCCTACCACTGCCCCACCCCCATTTCTCTCTTCTGCCACCTTCCCTTTGTCCTTTGTATTCTAATTTCTCTCTCCTTATACTCCGCTTTCTGCATGTCCTTTCACACCGTCTGATGAAGTGAATGTGAGTTCATGAAAGCTTGCACTCTCAATCTATATTTTATTTAGTCTATAAAAAGGCGCATATCTACCCTGCCTTCTAACTGACTTCAGACTAATGCAGCTAACTGCCTCTCACTATTAAAACAAGGTCATTGTGTTATCTAGGATTTAGTTGAAGCTGTACCTTCCCAGGCCTGAGGAAGGGCATTATGTTCCCAAAAGGTCATCTAACATCTCTCCCAAATACTTTGTTGGTTCCATAACAAGATATAACAAACAGAAGTTGCTTCTCATATTCCCTGGACCATTGCAGCTAAGACAGATCTATTAGAAGCACAGGAAAAATAAGTCTCAAAAACAATAATGGGATGTGAAACGATATATAGGTGCATATTCCCCATTGTATACTGATGGAAATTACACCAGGATCACAGATAAGACAGATGTGCAGCTAGCCCAGGGTAGTTCACAATAGCTAGATATAACTCACTTTCCTCCTACACGGCTGGGAAACAGGTAAAAAAGCCTGTTTGCTCTGAGGAAACAGCTACCCCAGGAAGAACGCAGACAAAAACCTGAACTGGGTGTAATTACCCCAATTCAGGGGTCTGCCTTGTCTTTTCATTACTTCAAAAAGCCTTAATGTAAAACAAGAGTGTAAATGTATGTAAAAAAAAAAGAATATTCCAGGACACATATTTCCTAGGGAAAAAGTAATGCTGAAAGCCCAAGCAAAGGATACAAGAGTAGCACAAGGTAAAAAGTACATAGCTGCAAGCTAGAGCTCCTGCTATCTTACCTAGAGTAGATTAACAGCAACCTCCGCTGCTACTTCTGATTTTCCCACTTTTAAAGTCAAAAAAGTACAGCCCACTACTCTGTCTAGTTTACTGGGATTACCCTGTCTTCTGGGGGCTCACTTATTCACACAGTCCTATCCACCTTAACACTAAAAAGTCTCAGCATTCATCAATGGACTCACCTGTTTGCAACAACCCTCCCAGGCATAGCAGTCCATCACACCTCTTGCCAGAATTTCACACCTGCCCTTTCTTGTAGAAAACATAAGTGAAACCTTCATGATGAAGAAAGTAACCTCCTTCCCTCAAACAGTGAAACCTCCATCATTAGCTCCCCCCTACCTAAAGGTGCAGGAAAATTTCTCTCTGAATCAAGTGGCTCTTCTGTTACTGAGTCTCTCATAGCCAGGTTACAACCAACATAACCCACAGGCTTGGGCCTGAGTCACTAAATCCTGACACCCACTCCCTTCACCTGAAGAGTGGTATGCACGGCAGAGGTGAGTGAGGCATGGCTTTGTGGAAGCAGTCTGCAGGGGTGGTCAGGCTCTACTTTGGCAGGGCACTGAAGAAGGCACTTTTCCATGTTTTAAATCTTCTATCATTCTATGTTCATGCCCAGTCACATCCCATAGCTCAAGGGGCATACAAAGCTCTGCTGGAATACAGAGGGGGTAGAGATCTGCCACTGAGAGTAGAACATCCTTCACAGCCTTTTCATGCAAGTCAGCTCTCCTAGCCCACCTCTGCCAGCTGCCATAGAGGTTTCTCCGGGAGTAGGCAAGGGTGTGGACACGTGTGACAACTGAACTGTGCTGAAGCACCAGCAACTGGAAATTGGCTTGGAAGTGCTGAACAGAAACTGTGAGTCTTAAGGAAGGATGAGGAAAAAGATACTGTTGAGGCAGGGTGGGTAGGGGCTCACCTTGTGGCGCATCTGGGATGATGGAACAGGGTGTTGTTCTGAGGTGTGCAGTGTTTTCTCCAGTGGTATATGGTTGCTGTTGCTTTTTATGTACAAGCTGCAGGAGCCTGTGTAGCCCAGGTACACCTAGATGTGTGCCCTGTCTGCAGGTGGAAGAATGGGGTGGTCAGGCAAGAGTGAAGTGAGAGGGCCCTGGAGTCAGTGGCATGGAGGCAGGGTGCTTGGTCTCTGGGGGTAACCCCTGCTGAGGGTCCCCGCTCTGTTGGTCCCCAGGTTCTATGGTTTCCCCCGCCGTGTTTGCCTGGATCTCTCCTTCAGGAGCAGTGGGTTTTGGGCTATAGTTGAACTCCGAGGGGTACCACTCATCACTGTTTGAGTCAAAGTCTATTCCCTCTGCAGGAGTAGGCAAACAGATGTCCTTTCACTTAGACCAGGTCCGTCTCTTAGGTCAAGGGGATCTATGAGGAGGTTCTAGCTCAGAGGGCCTGGTACTAACCAATTTATTAATAGGTAGTAGCAGACTGCAGTGCAGTACTTGCGGGCATCCAGGCCTGGTTTTATAGAGGCCACTTTATATACAGGTAAGTCTTTTATTTTCTTGAGTACCACATGAGGCTTGGCTTTTCAACAATCCGTGATTTTATGTCTCCCAGTTATGCTTAGATTCCTTAATAACAGCCAGTCTTCAGGGGTTACTTCTTCCTCCCTGACTTGGGCATCATAATTTCATTTGTGTCTTAGTTGGTTATGGCTCGTTAGGTTTCTAGCCAAGTGGTAGGCCCGCCTCAGTTTTCCTTCAATTGTTGGGCATGTTGCTCATGTGATAAGTGCTGTTTCTACCCTGCAGCAGAGATCTGTACAAAGCTGAGGCTGCCTCCTGAACATGAGGAAGTAGAGGCTTACCCTGGTAGCATCATTTCTCATTGAATTGTAGGCATGCACGAAAAGAGACAGATGTTGGCCCCACGCAAGGTTCCCTCTAAGCTGTGCACATGCGCGGCCACGCACAATAAAAAATCTTGCTGCACAGTAACTTTTTAATGTCGCGCACCCACCTGGAGAGAAGATGGACTGCAGCTTCCTGGAAACTTTGGGCGTAACCCCGGAGCATGGCAGAGGCACCGGGCCTGGCACAGGACACTTACCGGTAGTAAGTTACTGCTTGGCTGCACAGGGGCCACTCCGCTCTGCTCCACTCCTCACCACACTGGCATCCCCACAGGGAGGGAGAGTGGCGTGGGGCAGGCAGCAGCTCCTCCTTGAGGTGAGGTGGGGGCAGGGACAGGGGCTGGGTTTGGGGCAGAGCTGGGCACCGAGTGGGCTCTGCCAGCTCCGGGGATCTGCTTCACTCCCCAGCCCCTTCGGGCGAGCTAAGCCCTGAGCCCTGACATCACGTGCCTCCTCGCTACCTGGTCCACCCAGCAGCAGGACGCACATGGCGCCATGCTGCTTTCAAACGCTGCAGCAAGGCACGGAGGTGGGGAGCAAGAGAGCTGGGCATGTATGCAGGCTGGAATATGGCTATCTCCAAGCTTTGAGGGTTGCTATTGAAAACTGGAATCAATTTGGGGCCAACCCTGGATTATCATACACAAGTAAGCATGGAACAAGAAATGTGCAGGAGTAGCCATTCATTTGCCAGCCCCTCTCCAACACCCAGGCTCTCTCACTTCTCTCCTTTACTTGTTATTGATATTAGCATTGGTAATAAATAAAAAGCTATAGTATCATCTTTTGTTGTTATACTGGGTGAGGGACCGAAGCGGAGCATGCCGAA